ATTGGGGAAGGTGGGGAAGTTGAGGGTATGGATATGTAGGAATTTTGTAGCATGTTACCCTTTACCTTTGATCTTGATCCTGAGTGTGTGATTCTGGCTTTCTGGGCCTGAAAAAAAGTCTGTTCTAGACCAGAGGCTTCAGGACTTGTAGTGGTGGGACACTGGCTAGGGTTTATTCCTCTTCTCCTAGCAGTAAGCAATAAGTATTTTAGTACTAAGTCTGTCCCACCTCTGTGAGACTGGTCTGTGTATGTGCTGGGGAAGGGGTACAGGATGTCACTGGATGTTAGAATCAGGCTAGATGTGGTGGCTTACACCTCTAGTCTCAGTTTCTGAGGAGGCTGAGGCAGTAGGATCATTCGAGCCCAGGAGTTTGAGGCCAGTCTGGTAACACAGCAAGACCTTGTCTTAAGAAAAACCCCCAAAACTCAGGCTCATTTAGTAGTAATAATTGTATCAATAATACGAGTTTTTCTTGCTCTTTGAATCTTCATGATTCTGAAGATGGAGAAGAATTTGGATAGCAGTAGGTGTTATTCAACTATATTTTGTTCCACTGCCTGCCTTGCAAACACAACGTCCTGAGTTCTATCCCCAGTACTCCCCCCAAAAAAAACCCCCCAGAAAACCCCACCCAGCTATATATACACCTGGGCTCAATCTCAATTATATTTTGTTCCTGCACTTCTCATAGTGTGTTGAGTTTCAATAATGAATATTATGGGCTGGGATTTAGCTCCAGTGGTACAGCCACCTGCCTCGAAAGCACAAGGTCCCGAGATCGATCCCCAGTACCAAAAATAAATAAATGATGATGAATATCAGACTTACTTATCCAAAACCTATTCCTAACAACTCAGGGGTTACTCATTGCCCCATCCTGTGTGGTACCTGAATTCTTTGAGAAGGTGACCGCTGGAAGTTCAGGCAGCGAAACAATTAATGAAGGTACTTCATTTGCACATTTTACATAGTGAAGAGGGAAAATTCAGATAATTGGGGATGACTAACTAAAAAATGTATCCAGGAACTAGGGATGTAGCTCAAGAGTAGAGCACTTGCCTAACATGCTCAAGGCTCTGTGTTCCATGATCAGCATCATACAAAAGAAATCAGTGCCTGTATTTGTACTGGTGAGTGTCCTGACAACTTATCTGAATGTATTTGGTTCCTGCGTTTTTAATGCTGGGTGGGAAAAGGTTAGAGAATGAGGGAAAACAGCTTTGTTTCAAATGTCTGATTTGGTAAGTAGTGAAGGTTTGGAGGCTGACTGATACCAGCTCTGTCTCTCAAATGCATCTGAGTACATTTCATTTCTGATTTTGGATAGGGACAGACAGATTATCTGAAGGAAAACAGCTCTATTTCAAATTTATCAGGTGAGAAAAGCTGGTGGTGGCGCACGCCTGTAATCCGAGCACTCAAGAGGCTGAGGCCGGAAGATCGCTGTGATTTCAAGACCAGCCTGGACTGCATAGTGAGTTCCACATCAATATCAACTACATAGTGAGACCCTGTCTCAGAACACACACACACACACACAAAAAAAAAACAAACAAAAAACAAATTTATCAGGTGAGGCTGAAAAATACCACTTCTGTGAAAAAAAATCTGAAGGGATCTGTTTGATTATCGGATTTATGGAGAAGAATACTTATAATTATGGCAGCCAGCACACTAAGCACTTACTGCCTGCCAGGCAGTTCTAATCAGGCAAGCTTTAAATGTATTATTTCATTTAGGTTCACAACAGTCTTGTGAGTTACATTCTGTTATCATCCCCATTTAGCAGGTGAGGATATTTTGGCACAGAGTGGTTAAGTGACTTGTCCAAGCATTCACATGGCCAGTAAATGACAGAGTTAGGTCAAATCCCACACCTACCATTTACTAGCTGTTTAAGGACCATATGTGGCTCAGGGCCTGTTGGAATTTAGAAGTTAGGAAATCTTCCATGCTATTAAAAGTCATGACTAGCCAGGCGTGGTGGCACACACCTATAATCCCAGCACTCAGGAAGTGGAGGCAGGAGGACCACTGCACATTTGAGGCCAGCCTGTGCTACATAGTGAGTTCAATGCCAGTCTGAACTACATAGTGAGTCTCTGTCTTTAAAAAAAAAAAGGCATGTACTAAAGCTCAGTGCAGTACAAGCCTGTAATCCCTGGGAGGCTGAGGCAGGAGGATTGCCGTGATTTTGAAGCTTGTCTGGGCTGCAGAGTTCAAGGCCAGCCTGGACTATATAGCAAGAATCTGTCTCGAAGAACCAAAAACAAAGAAAATCCCCCAAATTTAGTGACTGTCTCAGTTATTCTTCTTGTTGCTGAGACAAAATACCTGACACTTAGGAGAGAAAATAAGCTGGCCCACAGATTATAGAGGTTTCAGTCCATAGTAAGCTGGCTCCAAGGCAGGGTGGTATGGCAGAGGTGCATTGCAGAGCAGAAACAATCCATGGCAGGACAGGTAAGCAGAAGGCAGCCAAGCAGAGAAGTAGCAGCAACCAAATATGCCTTTATATTTCATCCAGGCTACCTGCCCTTTGGGTGGTACCACCCACACCCAGGGTGGGGCAGCCTTAATCCTAGCATCATGCACCCTAGATCCAGCCACCTACGAAAATCCCCACCCATGACCACATGAGGCTTTGAGGGGACACAAGCCATAACAGTGAATTAGCAAGAGTTTATCTCAAAATAAAAAAAAGAACTGAGGACTTGGTTGCTCAGTACAAAAAAAAAAAAAAACAAAAAACCATTGGCTGGGGATTTAGCTCAGTGGTTCTTCCTTCTGCCTTGCAAATACGTGGTCCTGAGTTCGATCCCCGGTACCAAACAAACAAACAAACAATCAAAAAATAAATCATGGGTCAACACAGTGAGATGTAGGTGATTCTCATCAACCTGTCTACCTAGCCCAGGAGGTGCAGCTACCTGCTCTCCTCTGCTTCCCCCCACACTGGCCTACCTCTATGTAGGCTGTTATTGTTATTAACAGTCGTTAATGAGATGTTGTGAGTTTCCTTGCACTTTGAATTCTTTCCAGCGTTCCTTTGGCCTCTGTTGTCTCTAGAACCACCTTTTATACATTGTACAGATGAGAGAACCAAAAGTTTGAGACTCAATTTGCGTTACTACTCAGATTCTCCTGTCTTTTTTGGCTCTTATTTTTATAACCATTCCTCTTTCCAGTATTCTTGGGTTGTTGTTTTTTGGTCGTTTTTTTGGTACCAGGAACGACCTCAGGACCTTTCGCTTTCTAGGCAGGCCGTGGCACCACTGAGTTAAATCCCGGCCCTGTCTTTTATTTTATTTTATTTTTTTGAGACAGGGTTTCACTATGTGGTTCAGACTGGCCTTGAACTCACTGTGCATTCCAGGCTGGCCTTGAACTCTTGGGGATCCTCCTGTCTCAGCCTGCTGAGTGCTGGAATTATATAGCTCTGCAGCACCATGACCAACTTTTCTGAGGGGAAAAGATCTTTCCAACATTCTTGGTGGCCCATAAGAGATTGGAGAACCCATGGCCAAGAGGATGCTCTCCATCATCACCCCTCTGGGAGCACCTCCACTGGCCCTGGGCAATCCAGCAGGGAGTGAGAGGAAGGTAATGAAAGGGGCCTTTGTGTTCCACACTAGAAATCTCATCCCCAAGAGAGGTGATGGTAGGCTGGGGATTTAACTCAGTGGTGCCACTGCCTTCCTGGCAAGTGCAAGGCCCCAAGTTCAATCCCTGATACAAAATAAATACATGCATACATATATATAGATATATGTATGTATCTCTCTCTGTATACACATATATATGAAAGGTGGTGGTGGGAAGCCTTAATAGCTATGTGACGGGGAGCTCCATTCTAGGCTAGGCCAACCTGCCAAGTAGAGAGGAAGCATTCCTTACACTCCCATTCACCTCATGGCAGGGATGCTGGGAAGGCCTGGGTTACGCTTGAGCCCTGAGGTCACAGAGCAGATGGTCCCACATAGATCACAGAATGTGGTGTATGCCGGGTTAGGCCCAGAGCCCAGGTGGTGTTCTGTGTACCTTGTGAGGATGCAGAGCTCTCAATTTCCTGGCATAAAGCCTGACTTCTGGCTAGAAATGTTGAGGGGGAAGGGTAGCGGAGACCCAGCAAGGGTATGAAGAAGCCTGAGTCCTCTTCCTACTCCTCCTTCTCCCTCAGGAGTAGCCTCTGTTTGCTGTAGCTCAGGACCTAGTTTTGATTTTTACTCCCTCTCCAGTCCTTATGCACATCACCGTGATCTCAGTCAGAGACCTCTTTACTTCTTGGAGCCTCAGCTTTCACATCTGTTAAATGGCTCTGAGGAGACTGGGTCTGTACCAGTGATGGTGAACCTTTCAGGGCTTTCAATCATACAAACATACTATAGGTTTGCCACCACTAGTCTATACCCACCCCCAGGTTTGTAGGGCATAAGTTGTGGACAGTTTATTAGGAACTTTTTTTCTGGAGCTGTGGAAGGTAGTGGGATCATGAGTCCTGGCCTCTCAGAAAAGTCAACTTCTGTCCCCAACTTGGAAAACTTAGCGTAATGGTGGTGGGAGTTGCCCCAAGACCCACCCCCATCTTGCCCTGAGAGGGAAGAGTAGGGGTCTCAGAAAGGGGATGCCCACTGCTGAGAGACACAAACCGGATTCACAGCCAGGTCTCCCTAGCCCCCAGCCCCCAGGCCCAAGGTCCTACCCTTGGGCATGCAGTCTCTGGGCATCTGGGCAGCAGGACCAGCAGCAGCTACTTACATAACTCTTAGCCCCCTCCCCAGTTCTCCACCAAGTGTCTGGGTTAAGGGAGATAGTTCTAGGTTCTCTTCTTGGCCATGCTGGGCACCCTGAGGACCTGGCCCTGACGTTACCTCCCTCTGGCCTTGGGTGGCCCTACCTTTAGTGGCAGACAGGCAAGGGTTAAAAGGTGTGGGCCAGCCCAGTTCCTGGCCAGGTAGGCTGGGCCATTACCTTGTGGGAGGCGGCCAAGGCATCTGCCACTGCTGCTTACCGCCACTACCAGCGATCCAGGGCCTGGTCAAGACAACTATTTTTTTTTTAGGTACCCGAGGCTACCCTACAGTACTCTCTGGCATTGGTGAGCACCTGGAAGCAGTGGGTCCAGGATGTGGGGGAGACAAGGGCACAGGGGCTGGGGTAGGGTGTGATGCAGTTCCCTTCCGGAGAGAGCCGGGTCTGTGGGAGAGTTATGCCGACAGTGTGGAGTCAGGTGGGGGGCTCAAGGTGAAGCCCAGAATGTCCCAACTTCCTTTTATGAGACAGATTGATTCCTGGCCAGAAAGGGGAGAGGAGGCATTATGGGGGAGAAGAGCTGCCTGAGTCCCCCTCCTCCAACTCACTCGAACTTCCTCTCCTTTCTCTCCTGCTGAGCAGCCTCTGCCCTCCCCCACCCCAGGGCCAGCCCCTCTGGAAAGGCCAGATCTGGCTATTGAGAAAGTATTTCCCAGGCACCTGCCTGCCCACCCGCTATTTGTTCACCTCGAATGGAGGAAGTAGGGACTTGGAGGTGGGGGACAGTCCAGACTTTGGGAGTACTTATTTGATCCAGTGGCAGCAGGATATGAAGGTGGGGGTCCTGCTGATAGTGTTGGGGTACCACCCAACTGAGGTATCTTGGTTGTAAACAGTCATTACAGCCAGGAATTTCTTTCTGGGCTGAGGTATCTGAAGGGCAGACCTGAAAAACCTGCTGGGCCCGCCTCGGGGTGTGGGGGTGCCCTCTGCTGCTCTCCTAATTCAGCCCAGCCCTGCTAAGGTAGGGCAGACTGATCCTTTGGAGGACTGATAGACCGGAAGGCCCCTGGGGTCACCAGTGGGAGGAGATTGCTGAGATCCCCTTCCTACCATCTCTGCTTGGTAACAGGGCAGCCCTAGGCCCCAAAGCAAACATATGGAGGGCAGGTGAGCAAAGGCAAAGGTTCCAGAGCTGGGCGTGGGGGTGTGGGGTGTTGACCTTGTGCCTAGCCTGCCCAGTGACCCCATGACTCATGCTGTAGCTATGTCCCAGAGGTCAGGCTGACAAGGTGGAGTCAGGGTTCCTTTCTCATCCCATGTAGACTTCCAGGATGCTCTGAGCTCCCAAAGAAGGAAGGATTGAGGTAGCCCTGTGTGGGATGTGGGGCCCATCTTGGTGAATGGGGTGAAAGACCCAGGGGTGAGTATTGGGTTTTTATTGGGGTAGAGGAAGGCTCAGGGGAGCTTGCTGAATGTTCCCCCAAACCCAAATGAGGCCTTGGAAAATAGGAGGAGCCCCTGGACCTGTGAGGCAGAGGAGGCTGAGCTAGGGCACATGCTGGGAGGGGTCAGCCCTTAGATGGGTGAGCGTGTGAGGCCTCTGTAAAGTACACCTGGCCTGGCTTTGTGGAAAGGCTTTGGTGTGGGTGTCTGATCTTTTGGCTTGCCTAGGCCACACTGAGTGAAGAGGCATGGTTTGGGGCCACATGTAAAATATATAATATAGTTAATGTATATAAGTGTCAAAACTGCCTTTTAAAAATGTTTTTATGTCCAGGCTTTAGCTCAGTGGTGCGGCGCCTGCCTTGCAAGCTCAAAGTCCTGAGTTTGATCTCCGGTACAAAAAAAAAAAAAAGCTAATCATAAACATTTTTATTACAATATTAAGGAAAAAGAGGGCCTGTGGGCAACTCTGGTCCTTGTTGTTGCGAGGCAGGTGGCAGAACCACTGAGATAAATCCCTGGCTCTAGATGCACCTGCTTTAGAACTGACCTCACCCCTAATAATGAGGACAGGGCATAAGTGCTTCAGGGGAGAGATACAGACCCTGTGGGGCAGGCAGGAAGATTGCAGAGAAAGTGGGCACATTATATGTCCCAAAGCAAGGGGGAGCTCAGCCATAGCCCACAATGTAAAGACAGGGAGGTGCTTGAACCCATGCTCCTTGGTTGCCTGGGTGTTCACCCCACCTGGCTACCATGTCAAAACTAGCTGTGGATTTCAGGGTAGTTGGGGTGAAAACTCTATGGCTCATGAAGCTCTCCCAGTCACCTGCCATGGAGATTAGGCCAGGTGGTGGGAGGTGATGTCAACAGGTTGCCCAGTTGGGGACTGAGCAGGATGTGAGAGAGAGGGAGAGCTGGTACCCAGCCAAAGTAGTCTCCATGGTCACCCAAGGTTTGAAATTTGAGGGGGCAGAAAAGAAGGTGGGAGGCGGGTGGCTTGTTATCTGTAGCTGTAGACTGCTTCTCACAAATCTTGGCATGGTGACTTCCCTTTAGTAATCTCAGGACAGGCTCAGAGGAAGAAAAAGCCTGGAGGGACCCTGAAATCATGTGAATACTTGCTACACCAGGGCTGCAGGATGGGGCTGGGACAATAGACCCACAGATGTGGGCATAGATTCTGGCTCTGCTCTCTGAGCCTGTGCTCACACAGTCGTTTGTTCAGTCAGCAGCATGTTCTTACAGCACTTGCTATGTGTGCAGTGGTGTTCGAGGTACTGAAGATGCTGGTGTAACAGGACAAATAGGGAAATATAGGGGAGGCCAGGCTTTTGTTGGACAGCAGTAGTGAGAGGGTACTATGCAGGCTCCATCTCTGGAAGTGACATATAAGCCCTAGAATGTTAAGTGAGAAGCAGGACTAGGTGGTGAGACTTTGAAAACAGTACTTCTGACAGCAGCCACGGCCTAGGTAAAGGCCCTGACTGACTGAGAACAGAGACTGGGGAACTTAGGAGGAAGTGGATGGACTTGGAGCAGCTCTGGTGAGAGAGAGTGTACGCCCTGAGGAGTGCGCCTAGACTGTGTCCTTGGCTGTGGGCAAGTTACTTCATCTCTCTGTGCCTTACTTTCTTCATCTCTAACACGGGGGTAATAATCACAGAACTCCTATCACTGGGGGGTTGTGAAGATTCAATGTGGCATAGTAGGTAACTGTTCTAGGCACCCAGGTGCTTAATAAGTGGCCCCTGTTGTTACACTTGATTGAATTTGTACCTTTATTTCTCTCTCCCCAGGAAGACTTCTGGCTGTGGCCTATGGGCCTCTGAGGAGGCATAAATCCACCAAGCTTCCCACTTGCTGTGTTCCCACTCAATGGGAAGGGAACCAAGGTACCAGGGCCAAGTGGGTCCAGACATCAACACAGAATATGAGAGGGAAGCTGGGCATGGTGATGTACGCCTGTAGTTCCAGTACTCAGGAGGCTAAGGCAGGAGGATTGCTTCGAGTTCGGCTATCCTA